ATTTTCCAAATTATTTTTTATGTCAAAATTAATGCATACACATAATTGAAAAACAAGTACTATTAAAATAATTATAAAATAGTCTCTTTTTCTACCTTTACCCAGCTATTACTCTTGCTCATCTCAGATAGTTATTTTTAATTCTTTCAGCTGCTTATGTTTTCAAAGAGGCTATACATGGCCATGACATTCAAAATATTTGACAACTAGCAAAGTGTGGGCCTCTGTAAATCATAACCCACTATGACTGGCTGGAGAGTACTTCATGCTGCAGTGTGTCCTGGAGGGGTGTGTGTGTACATACATATGTGTGTCCTGAACACATCTCTTTGTATAGGCATGATAATTTTCTGGGAATACAGGCAAGAATCCATTAAAAATGGTGGTAGGATAAACTGAGACCCTAAGAAATACACATAAGGGATCATATGATTACATTTGAACTAAGGACAGAACTGCTGTGTTACTGGATGGCAAATGCAAAGCAAGGTTCTGAAATGATTTTTAGAAGGGATATTTATTAAGCTGTGCAAAAGAGCAGGGGACTTATGAGGCAATTGGTTGGGGAGAGGAACTCTGGGAGAAAAGAAGATCCTTTCAAAATATTTTCAAGTTCCTGAGTGCTGTGTGATTTTACTTCTTTCCTGCTTTCCCACAAATCTTAAGCAAACTCTTTCTTATTCATTGTGGCATTGGATCTATTTTCTAGGAGCAGATGACTGGATATTTGTGACCTCAAGCAGTGGCTTTCAGCGGGGAATCATTTTCCATTCTCTTTGAGCTTCCATTTTTTTGGCAGGAGATGCGTCTTAGTACATTTTGTGAAGAGATAACAAAACACCATACACTGAATACTTTTTAAGCAATAGAAATTAACTTCTCATGTTTTGGAGAATGGGGAGTCCTAGAAGAAGGGGCTGGCATCTGGTGAGGAACTTTTTGCTGCATCATCCCATGATGGAAAGTGGAAGGGCTAGAGAAGGCAAGATGAGAGACAAAGATTAAACCCATAGCCTCAGGCCTTTTTAGAATCAGCATGAATCTATTTGTGAAGGTGGAGCCCTTGGGACCTAAATACCTCCCATTAGGCCCTACCTCCCAACACTGTTGTACCGGTATTAATCTTCTAACACAGCTTTTTGGGAGGCACATTCAAACCACAGTAACCTATGATAATAAATAAATTAATATGAAGTAGGTCCAGAGGTGATGAGTGCCTTGTTTTAGGACTTGTGGGTGCTAAGGACTAACTCTTCTCCTTGGACCCTTCTTTTCTTAAGTAAGTAAATGTAATAACCTCGTGAGCCCAACATGAACTAATTCAAGAAACCATGCTTGGTGCAGTAGCACAAGCTACTTGTAATTCTAGCAACTTAGAAGGATCATAAGTTGGAGGCCAGCCTGGCCAACTTAGAATCTATCTCAAAATATAAAATAAAAATGACTGGAAATGTAGCTCAATGGTAAAGCCCTCTTTGTTTTTCTGTGTCTTTTGTTTGTTTGTTTTAAATTATTTTCAGTGCTGAGAACTGAACCCAGGGGTGTTTTACCACTGAGCTATATCCCCAGAGCTTTTTATTTTTTTATTTTGAGATACCCTCCCTCCAAATTGCAGTAGTTGATCTTGATCTTGTCAACTTCCTGCCTTACGTAGCTGGGATTACAGATATGTGCCACTGCACGAGGTAAGAAACCAATTTTTTAAAATTTACAATTACCTTACAATTAGAAGATGAACATATTACATTACTATAAAGTACTAGAATAAACAAAGTGCTTTGGAATCCAAGTTCTCACCTGATCACAATACCAGACAGCAGATAAGGAAGTGGGTTAGTGCTCCTATCTCTGCAGTCAAGCTACCAAGGATCAAGTCTGGGTTTCCTGACTTACTAATCATGTGACCTTGAACAAGTTTCTTTACCTAAGTGTCAGTTTCTGTATCAGTTAATAGTGCCTGAGTCAGGGGTGCTTAACACAGTGCCCAGTAAAATTTTAGCACTTTAGTTTACTACTATTCAATTAGAAATAATTGGATGGATTGATCATGTGATATTATTCCCATTTTATAGATGAGGGACCTAAGATTCAGAGTGGTTGAGCTAATTGCCAAGCCAGTAAGTGCTGGTGTCTCTTGAACTCAGGTCTTCTGATACAACAGCCAATTCTTCACAATATTATTTGTACAGATTAATGTATTGTATATTCATTCAATAGTTTTGTAGTGCTGAGGATCAAACCCAGAGCCTTATGCAGGCTAAACAAGTACTCTAACCATTGAGCTATACCCCTCATCTTAATAATTATTTATTGAGCATCTAATATGTAACAGTCACTGTGCTTGGTGCTAGGAAAATTCTAAAATAATCCCAATATGACTTGCCATCTTTGAGCCATCCTGAAATTACAAAACCTGAAGCTAGGCCCAGAGCTACTTTGTTTCATCCAGCATTAGTTAATAGTGAAATCTGAAGATTTTTACTGAAGTATTTGTGGGGATAAAGATGAGGATTATATCACATTAAATTAAATTAAATTAATATATTATATCACATTAAATTATAAGTTATTTGAATGCAAAAATCATGTTTTTACTTATAAAGGTATAACTAGCACTTAGCACAATGTCCATCACATACTCATAGAATAGTTGACAAATGAACAACATGCCATATAGCCAAACTGAGTCCATCTTCCTAAAACACTTCTCATGTGTCCCTCACAATACATTCCCTGGTAGCTGCTCCAAAATTGATAAATTGAATTGAATTCTACCTCCCATGAACTTGATTCTTCTAGGCATTCCTGGCTTCCTGATACAAGTGATTTTCATCTAAAACCAAATACAATGAGTTTGGGTTACAAAAAATTATGTAAGTAAAAATATCAAGTCAAGAAGCCAATACTTGAGTAAACAATGACAACAAAACATAAGAAATGACAACAAAAGATAAGAAATGAGTTCAGATGGTGAATACAAAGTGCCCAATGAAGAGAACTGAAATATCATGGAGTTTAGAGGAATGAGAAAGAGAACAGATGCACAGTAACCTATTCCAGGTCTCTTATAGACAAACTGTATATTGGTTTTTGTTATCGAATCTTAGAGAATTTCCTCTCTGTAACAGCCTGTCAATGGCTTAAGGCTTCAGCAACATCTCTATGAATGGGGGGGGGGGCTAAGAAGTCCCAGAAACAGCAGACCTTGCAGTTTCTGTGTAGAATGAGGAGGTGGGGGTGGGGTCCGAACCTTGGTTCACTTGAAAGTGAAACAAAAATGAAGTTAAGAGATCCTGATATGTTTCCTTTTCTACCAAGTCAAGCAACAAGACCTCCCCTGGCGACACTCAAAGCTGGCCACTCAAACAAATTTCTTTCATTCTGTGACAGCATGAGCTTGCAGAACATTGAGAACAGGAGGCCAAGAAAAAAATGCCATCTTCCTGCTCACAGAAGAGATTGTAAGACATACTTGCTCACACAGCATTACCAAAAGGGCTTGTGTATGAGTCAGGCACAAATGGTAAGTGGGCTGATGAGACTTGCAGAGTTTATGAGAATTTCTGATGAAGCAGCATGCAAGAGCGCCCATCGGTTATTGTATGAGTGTGGTGCGGTCTGTAATTTGACTTGTTTGGGTCTTCTTGTTATTATAGGTTGTGCTTGACTGAAGCCTGTTGAAAAGTCTTTTTTTCTTTTTTTTTTCCTTTGCTATTAGAATTCTTGTTTAGTGATGAAGAATTGAGACTTTGCGGCAAGAATGCTAAATACTCCTTCAAGCTACACAGGCAGAAAAGGATGTGAGATAGTTATTATGTTTTATTAGCATCTGATTACAGGAACATGATCCCAGTTCCCCTGTTTCCTGATCACAGATGATTTCTGCACTCACCACAGTGTAGTTGGACACTGTCTGAAGCACCCAGGAACCAGGTCAAATGCAGGGCAAAGCACTAGGGATAGGTATGCAGAGGGATTGAACAAAACATGTCTCTAGGCTCCTAGTATCCCCCTCCTTTCCAGGGCCAACACTCTTCTGGAGTTGCTACATTTAGCAAAGAAATACAGACATGCCTGTATTTCATCTCATAGTCCTTTAGGGTTTAGTCCTCTGCCATCAGAGCCTAATTTGGCAGAAAATGTCTCAGTTAGTTATCAGACCTTAAAGCAATATTTCAAGTCTGGACCCAGATAATCTGCATTAGCATTACCGGAGGGTTGGGAAAAAATGAGAATTCCTGAATCTTGTCCTAGGTTCCCAGAATCAGAAATTGCAGGAATGGGCCTAGGAATCTGCCTTTAATTATGAGGCCCACTAAAGCAAGAAAAGAATTCAATGACCTCAGTGTCTTTCCTCTCCCATCTGTATATACTTAAGGACTTCATCCTACTTGTAAAGGATTCAACAAAGGTACAGTACTTGACCTTTATAGGGACTACAATAATGACATGTTTCCTTAATCCTTTCCTAAAGGAACTTTGGACTTCAGAAACAAAATGGGTATCTACCCATGGCTCCTCCTTGAAGAAAAGAAAGTCTGAAGCTATCTCTGATCACCTCCAAAGAAGGGCCTAACCCCTCTACCAGACCATGTCTAGGTTGCTAGTGCCTGCCAGCAGTCTGAGGGGGATCCTCAGCAGTGACTCCATCAGGACCATGTCTAGGGCTTCATCCTGTGCTACAAAAAGGGCAGATCTTCAATCAGTGTGCTAAGAAGCCTGCAATGATCTACCTCCTCTAAATTACCTCTGTACTGTTTGTTCTGCATCAAAGTGTTAACCAGAATTTTCCCCCAAGATCTGCCTCTTTGTCCCTAAGTCTGCTCTCTGCATTTTCCAGTACTTTGTCTGACAATCAGCCATCAACAATAATGACCAGATCACTGCACTCTGAAAAAGTGTGTAGGAGAAGGGGATGGGACACAGCGAACTCAAGATTTGAGTTTTGAAAGACTACAGGCTCCAAAATGCAATTTCACCTCCCAAAGACTACCATTCCCAACATGCAGTGCAGCCAGGGTCAGTAAATGCTTGGCTTGCCTTTCTGTCCCCTCAGGCAAAGGAAGGGTATGGAAAAGCCCCAGAGGATATTTGTGGCAGGAGTGGTCACTCCCTAAATCCAGGCAAGGAAGCTGAGCGGAGTCCCGCCCCTCCTGCAGTAAGCTCCTCAACTCGGCTGCAGGAGTTTTAAGAGCCGGGAGTAGCTGCACGCCGCGAACTTTCACCATGGTTTCGGTGACCAGAACAGTGTATGGAGAGCTGCCCTCCGGAGGAGGGACGGTGGAGAAGTTCCAGCTGCAGTCAGACCTGTTGAAAGTGGACATCATTTCCTGGGGCTGCACCATCACCGCTCTGGAGGTCAAAGACAGGCAGGGGAAAGCCTCCGACGTGATTCTTGGCTTTGCCGAGTTGGAAGGTGGGTTCCACCAATCCCGGGCCGAGGGGATGATCAGGACCACCCTTCACGCACCCCGAACGTTCGGCCGCCTGTGAGCGAGGGACTGAGGTCAAAGTCCCTGAGTGATCTTGGGACGATCTAACTGGGGAGGGCGAGGGTTGGCTAACAGGGCAGTGTGGCGATCCAGAGCTTGGGGGGAAAAATGAAAACCCAGAATGATTCCAAGTAGAGCAGCTAAAGGACTTGGTTTCTTGGCTGCTGGTTATCCATTCAGGCTTTGCCTCAGCGAAAAAAAAAAAGGAAAAACAAAAGCAAGCAAGCAGCAAACAAAACGAACGGCAACAAAGAGGCGGGCCTCCCTCCTCCTCCGGCCCGGCCCGCTCCAGAACAAAGAAAAAAAAACACAGACGTCCACCAACTACTCACCATCAAACACACTCTCAAGAAAGATTGACCCACAAAGAAATCATAAGGAAAGCAAACTGAGTGTAGGCTCAGCAGAGAGCTTGGCTGTTTTGGTTATGATGCCCAGCCCAGCCCACCCTGCTTGCCGCTCAATAAGAATGTACTGACTGAAAGGGAGAAGATCACCTCTAACTAGACGGACTTTCCCCCTTTGGGGTCTATGGGCAATTAGGATCATGTGTTAATTCATGCATTTTAAAACTCTGGTAACACATTCGACAACACAGACAAGCCCCCACGCCCACCCCCTTCACAGAGCTTGCTGTTTAGCTAAGGAGATGTTTTTTAACCCAAATAACTCCATAAATGTATAATTACAACTGCAGTTGGATTGCAGCAAGAGAATGGGTACATGGTTCTATCTCTTGGCACTGCAGTGTAACCAAACAGAAAATGAGGTCTGAAATGAAATTGGCGAAGGGAAACTGAGAATTAATAAGCTCTGCTGGATGTTGGGTGTGGACAAATTCTGCATTGTAAGAATATTGCTGAAGGTCCTGTTGATCACCTCTGCTTGTCTTCACCAGCCTTGGAGCCCCACAGTTTTGTTTATATGATCTTTTAGGTATGACCTAGGAAAAGAACAGTAATGCCTTTTCTGAGTTTTGCATACCATTTCTTATCTTTAAAAATTTCTTTTACTTGTGTCCCACCTACAGTTCTTATGGCTTCTTTCAAAGCCTGTTATGAGAATATTTGCTGGTAAGCCACATAGATAAACAACTTACCCATAAAATCCATGAGATTCCTTTCTTTCATTTCCCCCCAGTTACTACCAAACAGCCATCGATTGCTGCCATGAGTCATTATGGCACTTGCCCAGCACATGTGAGGCCTGGGTTAGATCCCCAGAACCTCCAATAAACAAACAAAAATGCTTCTTTAGCAGCAACTTAAGTGAGGAGGCTGGTACAGGAGGCTGACTGCAGGAAGGTAAGGGGATGTGAGAAAGATCAGCGTCACTTCCCTTCCACACATCTTCAGAATTAGAAGGCAAGAGGGCAGGCAAGTGACCAAAGAGGATTCTCTATAATCACTTTGCCGAGTCACTTGTCTCTGCTATAGGCTGCAGATAGAACCACAAAAGATTGCATCTGTTTTTTGTTTGTTTGTTTCAGTACTAGGCCTCACACATTCTAGGCAAGAGCTATACCACTGAGCTATATCTCTGACCTTTTTATTTTAATTTTGAGATAGGATCTCCTTAAATTGTCCAGGCCAGCTTCAAACTCCAAATCCTCATGTCTCAGCCTCCCAGGTAGCTGGGATCACAGTTTGCCCACCACAAAGAGTTTACTTGACTCATGCAAAATTGTTCAGGGGAGTCAAAGGAGAATTGGATATTTAACCTGGAATTCTTGATCCACGGAAAAATATTGGGGATAAAAAGATGTGGGCACCATCCCTTATCACCATTCAGAAAGGTACTGTCCACCCCCTGCAGACATATGCACACCTCTCTTATTTCCTGCAATTTTTAGTTCTAAGAGTCACAAGAATCTAAAAGCACAAAGATCTTTGGAATTCATATGGAATGTGAGCTGTGATGACAAGCCTCCGGAAGACATGACACCCAGGAAGCACCAGTTTCTTGATAGGTGTGGAAGTGCAAAGACATTCACATAATCCTGTGTGAGACTGTAAACCTTGTGGGAGTCTCAGTGAAAGAATCCTTCCCAAATGTTCTCAAATGTTCTTAAAAGGAAGAAAGCACGTTAGCTCCCCTAGATTATAGTGATCTAGCTGGTATTTTATTGCCCTCCCTAGTACCAACATATGTTGAGAATGTTCAGTGGCATTTTCTCAGCAGAAGGCACCACAGCTTCACAGAATGCCAATTTAAATCAAAGCATTTCAAATATTCTTCTTGGTGCTGGTCCAAGATGGACATTTTCATTCCTGTGCTATAATTTAGATAATTTAATTATTTTAAAAGGAAAGAAAACTATTTTCAAAAGACAATATAAAGAGAAAACACCCTCAGTATATTAAATTACACTTTCTGATATGTACAGCCATCTTCAAGGTTACCATAAGTGGACCCTAGTTCCCTTTATAAGGCTTGTCTTTTAGTATTGCCAAAGATAAGACTTCACATATGTCATAATAGGAAGCATATTGCCTCAATCAGAAAGTAAGAAATGGATCTCTGCTACTATTTTGGTTAATTCTAATTTATTAAAACCCATATTAGGAAACTACTAACCTCAACGTAGTGATGCATCCTTGTAATCCCCGCTACTTGGGAGGCTAAGGCAAGAGGATCTCAAGTTCACCGACAGCCTAGGGAATTTAGTGAGACCTTGTCTCAAAGTAAAAAGTAAAAAGGGGTTTCAATTTAGTTTAGTGGTAGAGCATCCCTAAAAGAAAACTAGCCACAGTGGTTGTCCTTAAGAAAGGACCTTGGATAGTTAAGGTTCAGTTTTTTCCTCATCTGACCAAAAGACAGTCATTTAAGTAATAAATGTTGTTTGGGGTTTTAAAAAATTAATTAAATACATATGCATATGTACATATATTTAATATATGTATATATAATAATTAAGTTATATACTATACAATATTATGTTATTAAACATATTATTGTTCTAATATTTATAACATTATAAATAAATAATATAGTAATAAGGTTATAATATGTAATACATTCTATATTACATATTATATATGTATGCATATATAATTAAATGCATATCTATTTATATGATATATATATGTATGTATATAGATATGGATATAGATGTACTTTTTTTTTTTAGATGGGTTTTTCTATGTTGCCCAGACTGGCCTTGAATTTGCAATACTCCTTACTCAGCCTTCTGAGCAGCTGGGATTATAGGTTTTGCACCACCATGCTGGGCTGTTTTGAGGGAGAGTAGTGATTAATTTATTTCAGACTTTAGAGCACTGTGGTAAAGGTTTGGGCTTTTTGAGGTGGGTGTCATAGCTGGGGATCTTGGGAGGTCACAGGAGTGGAAAGGGCCATATACCATGCTTAAGCAATTATTGATTTTTTTCTGGCCAGTGCCTTGCCCAGGAAAAGGAGCAGACTTTCCCAATCCTCTTTCTCCCATGTCAGCAGCTGATTTGATTAAATCAGTATTAGTGGCTTGACCTAGGAACTTGGAACTTTTCACTTAAAACAGAATTTTCTGCAATGCAAAATAACTTTTTAATCATTCCTTATGCAGAATTTGGGGATTTTCATTTTTCCATAAGACTGATTTGATACAAATGCTTAATTACATTTGAAAATAGTATGAAATCTATTTGTTCTATTAAGGTTTTTTCAGAGACAGCTTAGACAGGTGGTTTCTCCGTCCTCATGGATCAATTCTTCTTTTTTTTTTTTAGTATTTATTTTTTAGTTGTGGTTGGACACAATACCTTTACTTTATTTTTATGTGGTGCTGAGGATAGAACCCAGGGCCCCCTACCTGCATAGATGAGCGCTCTACTGCTGAGCCACAACCTTAGTGCCCTAATGGATTAATTCTTAAAAACTATTAATCTAAACCAAGGAACTGGCAGGTACTTCTCATCTCCACAGGCTGATGGACTGTTGCCAGGAGCCGTGGCTTCTGAGGGAATCTTGCCAGCCGGTGTGGCAGGAGCTTCACTGTCAGATTGTCTCCAAAGCCTAGTATACCTCTGGTGGAGGATGGGGGCTCTGGGTACACTTGTGGAAAAAATTGAGATCGCACTAAAAATAGCCACAGCCAGTTGTTGTATGTTTGTTTGTTTGTTTAGACAATCTGCTTTTCTTTACATTTTAATACTTTATTGGGCTCAGACATCCCAAATTAATGTCTGCAGAAGCAACCTCAAAGCAAAGTTTCCCTCTGGCCTTCTCTTGCCCTCCTGTCTGTCACTCCTCATTCTCTCCTGAGGCAAGCCATAGAAGCTAGGATTGCTCTTCCCCAAGGCAGGTCATAAAAACTAGAACCCCCTTTTCCCCAAAGTCAAGATAAAAGCTAGAAATATTACTCTAACACCCCCCCCCCACACACACACACACTGTCTCTCTAAGTGTCAGCCATAAAAAAATTCTCTGACCTCTTGTTCAATTGTAGGTCTTAGGACCCCTGTTCTAGAAAGGGTCTTGGTTCGTAGCTGGAGGAAAGATTGCTGTTCAGACAGGCCAAGAAGAATCTGAGCTGACAGGCCTTGCAGGGTCTGCCACGATTATACCCTTTTTGTCCAGTTCTATTTCTAAATGGCTGTCCGTGCATCATCTCTCCGAAGAATATAAATGCTTAGTTCACCCTGGATCTCTGAGTCTTCAATCTGAAGGTTCCTGTGTCACGTGAAACTATAATCAAATATGCTTCTCTTGTCAACCTGTCTTTTGTTATAGAGGTGTCAGCCATGACCCCTGATGGTGGGCAGGAGAGGGATTATCCCCTTTTCTATCTAAAGAGAAGATGAAACAAAACCAAGAAGAGGTTATTTGCCTTTTGGGACTCCTTTTGTTTAACCACTGTTAAGGGGTTTGAAAGCTACAGCTTCAGAAAGTGGAAGGGGGGAGAAGGTGGGAACTGACGGAGCAATGAACCCCACCAGTGCCTAGAGATGGTGGTTAAATGGGCCAACCAGGATGCCTGGTGCTTGCTAAATACAGTTGGCCCTCTGTATCTATGGATTTGCATCAGTGAATTCAACCAACCACAGATCAAAAATATTTGGGAGAAAACTGCAGTAGTACTAAATGTGTTTAGCCTTTTTTTTTTCTTGTCATTCCCTAAATAATAATAAAGTACAAAAACTATTTATATGGCCTTTGCATTGTATTAGGGATTATACATAACCTACAGATGATTTAAAGTATGTGGAGGGAGCTGGGTGCAGTAGCACCCACCTGTATTCCAAGATATTCAGGAGGCTGAGGCAGGAGAATTGCAAGTTCTAGGCCAGCCTCTGGAAATTAGCGAGACCTTGTCTCAAAATAAAAATAATAAAGGGGTTGAGGATATAACTCAATCCCCAGTACTGAGGAAAGAAGAAAGAAAGAGGATGGATGTGCATAGGTTTTATGCAAAAACTACCCCATCTTATATGAGGAATTGAGCATTTATATACTTTGGTACTTTGTTGTGGGGAAAGGACCACTGGTAGGCAATGCTTAAGAGTATGGATTAGGAGCCAGACTACTTGGATTCAAGTCTTGATTCCTCTGCTAACTAGTGTTTTAGAGCAAGTTACTAAACTTTTCTGTCCTCAGTTTCCACATCAGTAAACTGGGGCAATAATAGTATCTACTTAAGAGAAATGTTCTGAGGATGAAATGAATTAAATGTAGAGCCCTGAGAAAGTGTCTGGGACTTAGAAAGGACTAAGTGTCCGCTGTTATAATAGTTCATTTACAAGATTCTGAGGCACCATGGATTAATGAGGAAGGAACCAGGACCTGGAAGAGAATGATTAACTTGTGCCCAACCAGTTGCGTAATGGGAACAGTGACCAGCCACTGGCTGATTCAGGGTCTGTATCCGAGAGCCCCTCCAGGTGTGGAAAAAGAGGTCATATGTTTGAATTGCATTCTTTGCTAATCCTAACTAGACATGGAGGATACAGAGTACCCCAGGGAAGGAGATTGGAATCCAGAGTGCATCTGAGTGAGAAACAGAATAGAAAGGAATTTTGGTGAAAATGCAAAAACAAACTGTCTCCAAATCTTAATCTCTTCCATGGAAAACCACAGAAGAACTCAAAAAAAAAAAACTGTAAGAATAGTAAACTTTAAGAAGAGAAAAACTTTAAGAAGAGTACTTTAAGTACTTTTACTGGAATATGCTCTCGTTCAGAGTTTTAACTACAACAATGGTGCTTTGCTTTTTATAACCTGTATCACCAAAAAAAAAAAAAAAAGCCCAGCAACATTTGATTCTCATCAATATGCCCTGTAGCAATCAAAAGGAATATGGTATACAGGTAGTAACAGGGAGAAACCTTAAGATATTTGATAAATGAAAAGTTACAGAACAATATGTATAACTCAATTATATCTGTATAGAATATACATGTGTTTGTGTTCTTGCATGTATGCTTATATGTAGTTAATTCAATTTTTGAAAAAACTGTATATTCCCAACTGTTAACAATGATTACATTAGGAAGGAAGAGAAGTGAAGAAAGGCTTTTAAAATGTTTTACACTATGAAGTTTGCCAGATTTAGCAAATGAAAATATAAGAAGTCTGATTTAAATTTCAGGTAAACAACTTATACTGTCTCATCCACACTAATACTATGAACATACTTAAATACTGTTAAATGATTATTCATTTTTTATTTGAAATTCAAATTTACCTAGGCATCCTGTATTTCCTCTGGCAATCCTACTCTATGTCCTTGGGTATTATTTAACTCTCATTAAAGATATTTACATGTACTAATTATATGATTTTACAAAAACATGAAAAGAGAAAGAAGAATTAGACAGTTTTCTCTCAAGACTACACAAAAGTCTAATTTTTAGTTAAGAAAATTGATTGGCTCAGAAAATAGCAGATTATAAAGCAACATTCCCACTAAGATCCCAGTTCATAAAAAGAAGCAAATGCATATGTACACTACACTGAAAGACAGAGGATATATATAAGAATATTAGTAGTGGTTCTTTCTCGAGTGATAAGATTAAGGAGGATTTAAATTTCTTCTTTGTGTGTTATAAAATTCTTTAAAACTTTTTGTAATGAATATGTATTACTTCTGGAACAGAAAAATCTCAGGTGTGAAAAAAAATACCATTTTTCTATGCTTTCATGAAGGCTTTGATATGGCCAACTTGTAGGTAGTTGCGGCTTCCTCAAGAAGAAAGTTACAGGCAGCAGTGTAAGACACCTCTTCTGTTTGAAGTTTTAAAAAACACTGTCATCCTTGTCCTTTCAGGGTACCTCGAAAACCTGCCCTACTTTGGATCGGTGATTGGAAGGGTGGCCAACCAAATTGGCAAAGGAACATTCAAGTTGGATGGGAAGGAATATCACCTGGCCATTAACTATGGGCCCAACAGTCTGCATGGAGGACTCAAAGGGTTTGACAAGGTGAGTCCAGGGCATGTGGCAGAGTCCTTTCTTGGTCCACTTCCCAGAGTACCCACAAGCATGTCTTCTATTGCCAAGCAGAATCCTAGGCCCTGGGACATGTGCATGGTAAAGCAATCCAGGAAAAAGGCTGTTCCTAGGGTTTGGGGGAGCAGATGCAAATGGCCACATCCAGGATCCATCCTTCTCTAGTTCATCTGACTGTCACAAGCAGGGATCCATGAGTGAAAGGACCATGACCCCTGACTTAGGAAAGATGTGGAACAACGTTCTTGTAGTGTTGAGATCAGGGAATCAGGTTGAAGAAATGTGGGTTAATAATAAATACCTACCCTCTACTGCATAGGCCTTCACGTATGTTGTCTCTGACCTTTCCAAGAGGCCTAAATCATCACTCAAATGAGAAATCTGAGATTGTGAAAGGCACACGATTCCTAAAGGGGACAGCCAGGTCTGCCTGGCTCCAAGCTCTCATTCCTATACTAGAGCTGCTGGTGTCCTCCACGGCCACTGTGGGGACCCCCAATCCAATACTCCTCCTCCCTGTTCCTTTTGTGTGCACCCTTCCTGTGCAGTGTGGCACCACACCCGGAAATGCCCTTCCACTGAAGTGCTTTGTGCCTTGAAATTACCTTAGGCTCCTCCAGATCCCCCTTTCTAAATAAAAACTCCACCCCCTAAATAAAAACTCCAATCCTTGGAAAGCAAAGGGATCAAGCTACTCCCTGAGATCAGAGTTCCTGGCCTCCTGCTTCAGAGTCCTCCAGTCTCATTTTAGTCTCTGAGGGAAAAAATTTCAGAGAGCTCTCCTTTAAATTATACCACCCAGGTTGTTTGCTAGAGTGGAGAAAGAGAAGATAGGAAGTAAGATGTGTGGTAACTAAAGGCCATGATTTCCTTTTTTCTGCCTCTGGCCTCCACTTCTCCTGCTGAAGGAAGTTGGTTGCTCTAGGTTTTCCCCTCTCCCTCCAGCTTCCTCTCTGTAGCCAAGAACCAGACTATCCCGTTGGCTTCCCTTTCTTCAGTGAAGAGCAGAGGGCAGAGATCCTCTAGAACATGCCAGGTCCATGAGTAAACCCCATCTAGAAGAAGCTGGGCCGGGTTCCTAAAGGGATCTTGAGAGGACCCTCAGAACAGCACCTTGCTCTTCTCCTTCTGTTCCACTGTGTTATTTTCTGCAGTGTTGCTTCATATGTATTCCCTTTATTAACACAGAAGAATAGTAAGAATGCATATCTGTCTTACTCCATTTTCTGTTGCTTTGACTAAATACAAAAACTGGGTCATGTATAAAGACAAAGGTTTTTTTTTCTCCCTCATAGTTCTGGAAACTGGGGAGTCCAAGAGTATGGTGCCAGCCTCTAGTGAGGGCCTTCTTGCTGTGTCTTCACATGGGAGAGGGCATCTCGTGGCAAGAATGAGCAACTGTACCAGTTTGGGTCTTTCTTCCTTTTCAAACAAAACCATTGATGCCAGTGGAGGTTACTTCTCTCATGACCTCCTCTAATCCTAACTACCTGCCAAAGGCTGCATCTCCAAATACCATTAGCATGAGTTTGGGAATTACGTTTTAAACATATGAACTTTTGGAAGACACATTCAAACCATAGCCCAATCCAGTGCAGTGGGCCCCTTTAGTGAACCACGGAGCATAATAGGCTGGGGATTCCTGAGGTTCACAGTATAATGAGGCAGATGGACCCTTACATAACTATTAACAGCTGAGCTTCCACAGGCACCACAACATAGATGCTAACATTATACTAGAAGAGCTGAACATGAACAAATGAATAGTTATGGAGGTGGGACTTGAACAGCTTTTGAAGAACAGGTAACGTTTCATTCAGTCTGTGGGTATTAGACAGAATGGCTACACTGGGGCCCTGAGGTGGGTGGGAAAAAGCTGAGAATACTTATGGAGGCACTGAAAGTTTCTCAGTAGTAAGTTTTTAGATAGGTATCGTTAGCAGTATCCGATGGACTTTATTTTAAGTGTATTGGATTTCAACAATTACTGAATGAATAGTTTAGGTTGGGGGTGTATGTTTTTCTGTGCATTTAAGCACAATTGTTTAAAAGATGAAAATTAAATAACCTGACAGGATTTGAAATAGTATAAGAAAGTCTGCAGATTTAGAGTTTCTGGAGAGTTAGTAACTATATGGTCAGAGAAATTCTTCCATGAATGGGAATTACACATAACTGAAAATATTTGTTTACACCAAAATCTTTCCATTCTTTCCTTTCCCTAAAGAAGAAAATCTGGGTAGAAAGATAAGAACATTTTATTTCAGATTTTTTAATTCCTAGAATTTTCCATTTGGGGAATTCTTCTTTTATTTTTTAAATTACACATATAACAGTCTTCCTATTTTAAGTCTTGAAAGTTCAATATTTCTGAGAGATAATTAGGATATAAATTAAATTTTTTACTGAGCTCAGTGAATTTGTGTCAACGCCAGCTGCTCTCATTGTAGATGAAGGTAGAGACCTCCATCCCTGCTGGGCTCCCCTTCCTGGCAGACAGAACACCTGTGAGAGCCAGACCCAGGCAAGAGTGAATGGGCAGAGCCTGGGCTGCAGGACCATTCCTCTGATGCAGAAGGTAATTATCTTTTAACTGTGTTTGGAGTGAGAGTTTGACTCTTCTGTTGAAAATGGAGATTTGAATAAAGCTGTTCATTGAAACTAAGATGTGAAATCATGTAGGTAGCCAGACCTGAGTTGGAATCCTAGCTCTGTCACTAATTACATGTATGATTTTAAACAATATTTTTTCTTTTTAAACTATGCTGTATTAAAGGGTTCTATTCTACACCTCTGGAATGTATGGGGAGAAACAGGCAGGTTAACTCCATTGAACTTAATTTGTTCATCTGTAAAGTGGGGATAATATTAGTTGGAACTATAAGAGATTGCCAGTGTTCAACAGTTTTGACCTACAGGGACAGTCATTTCATTTAGTTCAACCAAAAAGTTCCTTGCAAGATGATTTATGTAAGGCATCAGTGACTGGTGAATACTCCACAGATTGGAGGTCTCCTGTGTGCAATAAGCTCTTTACTAGTAGTGATCCCAGAGCTCCCTAAAGGACCAGGACTCTGGTCAACTCATGCTGCTATTGTAACATAAGGGAAGAGGCTTGGGCTGGGTCCAATCCACTATCACTTAGGAGCTGCATGACCTGGGGCCAGCAGTTTACCCTTCCTGAGCCTCAGTGTGTGCTCACTCAATGAGAATGATGGCACTACTTGAAGTAGACAGATGAGATAACGTCTGTAAAGTTTCTGGCTAGGTGTCTTTCTTCATAACGAACACTTGATAAATGCTGGTTTTCCCTTCCCTGAAAGTGTGATCTTGGGGCCTTTCAGGCAAAGTGAAGAGGAACCTCTATGTTAATTCAAGATTCTTTTTTTCTCTTCATATTTTTCTTGCCATTCTTAGAATTGTATTTGCTAGAACACAGAGAAAACCTTCAAGGTAATTTTTCTAGCTCCTTAATTTTATGGAAGTGATAGATGCCCAAATTTACACAGTGAACTAGGAACAGATCTGGCTCCAAAACCATGACTCCTGACTTGTGGGCTGGAACTGAATCCTAATGGAACAAGTGCCCAATTTGTTATAAACTCTGTCCAGGGAATAAGAGAAACTTGGAGTGTTTTTCATTCATATTTGTATACAGTACACCAGAGAGAGGGGTTGATTTATTAAGGTTATTTTTTAGATCTATAAAAAGGTATTGCTACACAACACCAGAATGGAGCACCAAGATTAAAATAAATATATATTCAAGAAAAATTCAAAGAGGAAAATACTGTAGATACATACATGTAAGGTTAAGAGGAAAGAGTATAAGGAATGGAGCCAGGCAAGGTGGCACATGCCTGTGATCCCAGCGGCTCTGGAGGCTGAGGCAGGAGGACTGTGAGTTCAAAGCCAACCTCAGCAAAGGTGAGGTGCTAAGCAACTCAGTGAGACTCTGTCTCTAAATAAAAAATATGAAAAATAGGGTGGGGATGTGGCTTAGTGATCAAGTGCTCCTGAGTTCAATCCCTGATAATCCTTTCCTCCCCCCAAAAAGAGTATAAGGAATGGGAGTAGGTAAACAGAAAAAAAAATGCCTCTTTTCTGTACAAATCAGAGATTTAGATGAGTTCAAATCCAGGCTACTAATCCAAGCCTTAATGATTGATGAACTCCCTTTCTGGAATCAGTTATCCTTAAATATTGAAATGTGGCATTTAACTTGGGATTGAAGCAAATAAGCAGCTTTGAAAACACTTTTTTATAGGTCCTCTGGACCCCTCAGGTGCTCTCAAATGGCGTCCAATTCTCCCGCATCAGTCCAGCTGGTGAGGAAGGCTTCCCTGGAGAGTTAAAAGTCTGGGTGACCTACACCCTGGATGGCGGGGAGCTCGTGGTCAACTATAGAGCACAAGCCAGTCAGACCACACCAGTCAGTCTGACCAACCATGCTTACTTCAACCTGGCCGGCCAGGTAAGGGACCTCGCTCCTTCTCTCCTGCTGTAACTTGCTTCGTGGAATAACCAGGGACTGTGACTGAAGAGACCAACCCAGTATGGACTTACTCTGGTCCTGACAATGATGAAAAGAGCCCAGGAGAGCATCTGGCTCCTAGTAGGTGTTCAATAAATGGAAGTCATAGAGGAAGAAGATGGAATGAATACATCGTACTGTCAAGAAGGGTATCTGTTCCCGTGGCCATTTCAAGAACTTCTCTCATCGGATTGCAGCATGTGCTCACATCTGCTTCCCTTATTGTACTCCTACATCCCCCTCCAATGACTTCCATTTAAGGAAGCAGATATAATCCTCCGAATTATACTTAAACCAGCCCCTTTAATATTTGTACACTCCCACTGTGCAGCCCACCAGCTCCTTCCAGGGATTCTGGTGGCCAGTCATGCCCTGCACAGGACAGTAGAAAGAGCATTAGACCTGGATTTAGAAGACCTGGAGGTTTTTTTGTTTTTGTTTTTGTTTTTTTTAGAATAAGAGGCATGTTCTTAATTTCGTAATAGTAGCTACCTATTATTTATCAGCCCCTGTCAAAAGCACTTTATGAAGTTGTCAGTAAAGACATTGAAATCAACCCAGCACAGGGATAAGCCCCAGGAGGAGGACTCTTAAAATGTCTCCCTACTCGTGGTAGAGAGCCACTGACAGTGCCCTTGAGCGATCCCCTCTAAAGCACCTCATTTCCTTCAAAAGGGAACACTTCAGCTTATTGAGGAGGCGATCACAGGAGGCAGAAAACAGGCTGAGCCCAACTCTGTAGATTCTATCTGTTACTTCCTCATTATCTGAAGAAATCACGGTCCACTCAACTTGAATCATGTGGGCATGATTTCCTTCAAGCCTATGTACAGCCAACAAGTATTAGCTTACATTTCTGCCCTCCCCAACTTTTAGGAATTTGCTACTGATTTTTAGGGGGGGTGGAGTGGATAATTTTTTTAAATAACACAGGTAATTGGTTCTGATAAAATTTCCAAAGTTTTCCCTTTAAAAATAAGAAATATGGAACTTCCCTTGTTTGATCTTTTCTCTAGTACATCCATCATCCTTCCTGAAATCTGAAAACTAAACCAAAAGCTAAGAGCAAAACAAAAACACCCATTTGTAAGAGCATCTACTTTTTAAAATGGGTTCAGAAAGGGCAGAAATAGAGAAAGAAAAACAAAACAAAACAAAACACATGATATTGTTTTAGGTAGAGAATAAATTGTGATGATTTTTCTGTTTTCTGAATTTTGATAGGCTTAGGACATATTATTTTATAACCTTGGGAATGATCTAAATGAATTGATTCAGAAATAGAAAGAGAAATTACACATGAAGTATTCCATCTGCCAGTGTTCTTCCAGTGAAGGAGATAAAATGGGATTTTAAGGTTTACTAAGGCCCTTTGCATTTGTCACCTTTCTAATCCTGCAGGGACTTGGAGTGACAGATATTTCTGAATCTCTTTGCAGAGGATGAATACTTTCCTAGATCAGAGACCCCACCCAGAAGAGCAGTCAATATAAATCTCTCTTCTTAGACTGTCTTAGTAAGTGCAGCTCAAATCTACAACCACCAGCCTCAGCATTAAGGGCACCAGCCTTTGGGGGCACTTGGGTAGGAATGGATGGTCACCAGGCCTGGGGTCAAGAGCCGCTGCATATTCAGAACATCCCTTGCCCTATCCTGGGAAGCATTATCATATGTCAAGCCCTCTCCAGGGAAATACTTCAAAACAAGATATTTAAAGTAATTAGCTGGGATGTGGTTCACTGGTAGAGCACTTGCCTAGCATGGACAGGCTCTGGGTTCAATTCCTAGCACCTAACACAAAAATAATAAATGAACAAAGTAGCCAGCTCATGTTACATCTGTTCACTTTTTTTGTTATCTAAATCTAACAAATGGTATTTTTATTCTATTTTGGGGCCAAAGCATTGGCTTGCTACTTCTAGTTTGTGTGTTGGGGGGTCTGAGAGGTAGGATGTGAGAACCGTTTGAAACTTAACCTAAAGACCTCTGAAAGCAGGCCTAGTGGAACTTGAGATGAAAAGCAATAGCTGTGGTTCTGGTGTGACTAGGTAGATAACGTCATCAAGGAACCAAGTTCTTCCATTTTTCCGTTCTATCTCCTCAGTGTCTTGGCTTTTTTTTTTTTTAGTTGTTGTTGGACCTTTATTTACTTATATGTGGTGCTGAGAATCGAACCCAATGCTTCACACATGCCAGGCAAGCGCTGTACCACTGAGCCACAACCCCAACCCAGTGTTTTGGTTTTTGTCTTCAGGTTTTTCCCCCTCAGTCACAGGGTGGTTGCTACAGCTCCAGGAGTCACCTCCTCATACAGTCACCCCCTGAGACAAAAGAGGATGTTTGCCTTTTTCATATCTCTAATGTTTCTTTTCTAAGAACAAATACAACCTTTTCTAGAAGCTCCTGGAAGGCTCACATTTCATTGGCCAAAAGTGTGACTCATTCTCTGCCAACGGGAATCTGAGGCTGCCATGATTGATCTAGACCAACCAAAATTTGGCGTCTAGGGCTCGGGAAAAGGTTCCTTGCCTGAATCTATGACTTAACATAGAATAAATCAACAAGTCAAGTTTCTCCCAGGAGAAAGGGAGGGTACAGGTGAAGGGAAAGGCACTATGACTTCTGGGCAGTAGTCAACAGTGTCTGTTACTCCTGCTAGGCACATTAAAAGATGAATTAAGGCAGAAACTGTGGCAATGAACAGAAAAGGTTTTAAAATCTCTATGCAAGTTGTGATGGGCTTTGTAAATGGCTAATGTTACAAACTGGTATTAATCGAGCAAAGTTCACCAAAACACTGAACTCAGAGATGGAGCTCAAGATCTGTTTGTGAGTCAACATTTCTTGCCAAGTGTTCATCAACCTTGAATGGAAATGGGTCTAACAGTAATATTCCACCAGAGCAGATCATTGGAGTTTTCCAGGCCAGAAGTGAACTGAATCATGCTTCTCTTTAAGGAAGGGATATTAGTGCTACTTGGTGACCCAGAGGCCACTGGGAGCACAGTGAGCATTCTTTTCCTGCTCCTCCCAGCCTCTTCCTATAAAGTCAGACTCATCCATTTTTTTGCAATGTGACTTTTTTTGTTAATTCATTTCCTCCTGCCCATTGCTTTAAAAACAACAAAACAAAAAAGAAAAAGAGAAAAGGAAACTCCTAAGCAGCCTTGTTCATGATAGTGAAACACTATAAACAATCCACAAGTCCACCTACCCATCAGGAGAATGGGTAAACAAATGGTGACATAATGGTAGAGTAGAATATTATCAACAATAAAAAGGACCAAATTACTGATCCAATAACATGAGTGATCTCAAAAACCTTATGAGACACAAAAGAATATCTACCATAGGATTCTATTTATGGGAGGTTCTAGAACACATACAACTCATCTATGCTCATAGAAATCAGAATAGCATCCTGGTTATAAATGAGCATTTATCTTTAAAAAAAAAGAATGGAAGGAGGCAGGCACCTGTGGAAATTGAGTGAAGACCTGATAAATGCTAGGCCAGAAGTCATCTCCTGCAGGCTTTGCTCACTGGATGGCTGGCATAGGAGAGGTTATGTCTCTCAAGCCTCATATATGCAAAGAAAGGATGGAGGTGTTCTTTTGGTCTGGCTGTCCTTTCCTGGGACTCTTCAGTCCTCTATGTGGGCTGTAGATGTCAATCTAATACCCTCATGGCTTTGTACTCAACCTTCCTTGCTGCTGCCTGGACTGAATAAAACCTTCCAAGTTAGGGCTAGGGGTAGCTCAGTGGTAGAGTGCTTGTTTGGCATATGCAAGGCCCTGGTTTCAAACCCCGGCACTGAAAAACGAAGCAAAACAAAACCCTCCTGTTGAACTGAGCATTGAACAAATAGAGCTGGGGAAATAGTTCTAAATTCCCATTCTCATCTTCCCTCCCTTTAGTCCCAAAGGCCTCCTGGGTGCCAGCACCATCCTGGTAAAAGAGCATGGCAGTAGGGAGGAGCCTCTATCCAGGAGAGACACCCTGATGTCTTGAGCTACACTGGACCTGGGTGCACGCCACCTCCCATTTTGGACCTGCCTTCTCAAGTCAGAACAGGAACCAAAAAAGTGGCTAAGAGAGGAAGCATGAGCAGCAGAGAGCTCTCTGTCCTCATATTGTCCCCATTTCCTCCTACCCCAGCCCAGCACAAACCCATTTTCTCTCCCAGGGGATATCAGTTCTGCAGCAGCAAAACCTTCTAGCAGTGTCATTAAGCCAGTTTTTGCCACATTTCAACATGGAATCTCATGATCCCTAAATCTTGTTCTTTCGCCTTAAAATGACTCCATTTGATTGTGTGGCCTGAATCTTTCTCTCCATAGAATCTGCATCCCTTCAGCCTGCAGCCCTCCACCCCTCTGCCCCTCTGCTTATCTCTCTGCAGCTCAGCAGCAGCTTCAGTTTAGCTTTGCTCAGGGTTTCTCAGCCACTGACATTTTGGGGCAGATAATTGTTTGTTGTGGTGGAGAGGGTGGGAAGGCTGATTGTTGAGCTTCACTAAGCAAAAGCCCTCTCTTGGTTCCTCTTTCCCA